AGCCTGGAGCCTGCCTAGGATTCTGTGTCTCCCTCTCTCTCTCTACCCTTTTCTGCTCATGTTCTGTCTCTCTCTGTCTCAAAAATAAATAAACTTAAAAAAAATTTTTTTTAAATTAAATAAATAAACAAAAATAATTCAGGCCAGTTTAGTTTGTTTTTTTTTTTGGTAGAATTTTCCTGTTAGACACATCCAAACTAAGGAAAATTCTATAAATAAACAAACTGGCCCAGACTCTTAAAAAATATTGCTGACTTTCAGAAAACAATACATCATATACTTATTAATTGTAATAAATGCCATGATCTTCTGTTCTATTATAAAAATATTTTTTTAAAAATGCTGGTCTTAACCTACTCAATGCCCTTGGCAGGCTGTAGTTTGAAAAATACTGCTCCAGGTCATGGTTATACGAATGTAAGTTAGCTTCAAAATGCAGACAGAAATGAAACTGTCACAAAATACTCAGAATTAAAAAGAGCCATTCAGAACACAAATATGATTGCTAAGTCAAGAAAGCCAGCCTTCCATCGGTCCTGGAATGGTCTGTGTTACGAACAAGCAACACCATTTACTTACACAAAAATAAAAACACGAGAAACTATTTAGTACCAGGCACTACATGTTCTGTACTCTCTCAGTAAATCTTTACAGCAAACCAATGAAGTTGGTATTATCTACATTTTACACGTAAGGAAGCATGCTTAGACATGTTAAGTGACTGAAGTCCAGAAAAGGGGTAGAACTGGGTTTGAACTGAATCTTCTTATCATCAAAGCCCATGACCTTGCTACTAGGCCACCAGGGCCCCCAAGCACGGCACGTGTTCCAAAGGAAGAAAGACTCACCATCTGACAACGTTCGAACAGCAACATCTTGTGTGGAGACTCCAGGACCATGTTTGTTGTAAGCCACCACTCGGAAACTATACTCTGTGTATTTTTTCAACCCATTAACAGTATGGGAGTGACTTGAAACGTCAACATCCTTGAATAAAATAAAACAATTTCCATGGATACAACTCAAGCCAAAAGACATGCTGTGAAATAATGAGCTATACAAATTCTATATTTGATACAATGCAGATTTTTATCTCTTTTACAGAATGCTACTTAATGAAGTGGAATAATCATAAACACTGGCAATTTACTGGGAAATACTGCTTGTTGTTTAGTGACCCTTGCTGATAAAAAATACAGAATAAAACTTGGTACAAAGAAATAGAGTCTGCTGACTTTTCATTTCCTATATACATCTTTTTTATTCTCAGATTTCTAGACAAGCAAGTATTGAGTTTCGGAAATATATTTCAACTCCACTATTCCAATCAATGGATGAAAAAATGGCTTCATCTTATACCTGTTCTTTATCAGTCCCTTTTTCCATGTAGTACAATTTGTAATTCTGAATTTCCCCATTGCCAGACAGAGGTGTTTCCCAGGTGACAGTGATGGACGTAGGTGAAGCTGCATGTGCTCGGATGTTAGGTGCTGGGCCGGGAAGCTGAACTAGAAGGAAAATTTTGAGACAGTGAGATATGAGTGAAATTTAATATACTCCTCAATAACCATTCTCAGCAGTAATGTCATTTTGGCCATGTTTTTAAAAACAATAAAAACTGAGAAAACGTTTTGATGGAAGTGGCTTTAGGATAATATATAATTAAATGCATTGCCCTGTTTATGACTCAAATTATAACCAAAAATGATCTGTGAGGTATCTCAAATGTATTCAATGAAAAAAATAAACATTGCAGAATTTTTCCTGTGGTTTATAAAGTCCTAATTTTTCAGTAGGACTGTAGCACACAAAAACAGCCATCACAAAAAGAGAGCCTTCTGGAGATTAAGAGCACACTTATCATGATGAGTACTGAGTAATGTACAGAACTGCTGAATCACTGTATTGTACACCTGAAACTAATATAAGTATGTTAGTTATACTGGGATTAAAGTAAAAAACTTAATAAGAAAAAAAAAAAAAGAGAGAGCGCCTTTTTTTTACCAGGAACTGGGGAAATGATGATGGACAGGGTGCCTGCCCGCAAAGAATTCCCAGTCTAGAGGGAAGTCAGACATATAAGTGTTACAAATAATGTGACAAATGCTAACAGATTTCGTGACTGTAACAAAAACATAAAGAGAATACACACTTTGCTTTGGGAGGGGGTGGGGAGGCAAGGGAAGGACTGGGGAAGACTTCTGGGAAGCAAGAAGGAACAGCTTTCTCAGACACCAAGGGGAAAATTATTCCAGTCAATGGGGATGATACGTGAGAAGACAGTGTAATGTGGTTCAGGCTGAATACTGAATAAACGTGGGAGGGAGAATGTTTAAAAGGAGGACACGAGCCAAAGAGCTTCTAATGTGCTGCTGTGGAGTCTGAATTATCTCTTGTAGGTGTTAGGTAATTACTGAAAAATTATGAGCAGGAACATGACATGACATGATCAGATCTGTATTTAGAAAGGACATGTGAACACATGCATGGAAGAAAAAAGTATGGGAATAAGACTAGATAAAAGAATAATGATTTTAAAAATAGCTACCATTTACTGAATGCTTATAATCAGTCCGGCTTAAAGTGCTTTACGCTTTACATAAATTTCAATTATGTCTTATTTAATCCTCGTACTAACTCACATGAGAGGGATACTACTGTCATCCCTATTTACACATGAGGTTGAGGTTAAGAATCATTCTTAAATGATGGGAAAGTTAGTGAGCAGTGGGGCCAGGAGTTGCACACTTTCTGATTCTAACACCTGGACTCAAGGAGACCAGTTAGGAGATTATTACAACACCCTCTGTGGGATGGTTAGTCCCGATTGTCCATCTCTACCTCCTACAACAGTTCCCATACCTTTTTACTATATTCTTTTTGTCTGATAGGTTCCAGTTCCAATTTATACACAAATTCTGGAAGTTGCCTACACCTACACTTTGGTAGACATTCTATATTTGAAAACAATTTCTCTGGTGCTAGTGTTTCTGCAACAGAATCCATTAGATTTTAGGAGAAGGGGAAAAAACTAGCAAAATGTAAAACAAATTGGATTTCTTAAATAACAGCACCACAGTTTGACAGTTTTGCTACCAAAGTAGAGAAACCTAAATGTGGTTATTCTGACAGTTGTTTCTTTATTTAGCCATAAATCATGTTATTCATTTAATGTTAAGAGCATCCTTTTGTGCAGCCTGACAGGTGGGATTTGTCACACTTCTCCTGCTACGGAAAACTTTCCTCTAACTTATCAAAGGAAAAGGAAAACAAAACAGTCCCCCAATTCCCTTGAAATCACTTTCAATATATTCACTGGGTAAACATAAGCAAATATTATCCTTAAAAGGCACTAAGAAATTCTTCCATTTAACCTGCACAGTGGCATAATAAATGGAAAACATTTTCAGATGGTTTATTCAGCTAAACATGTGAAATATTTTCTGAGGACTGACTCCAACACTTACACCTTCGCCCGCCGCAGGCTGAACACCTCCAAATGAAGTGTAAGTCTCTTTCTGCTAACTTGTCTTTTGCCAAAACATGTTATACTCGCTTTCCATCCCTCAAATACCCTCAAGAGAATCAGGTTCCCCTTCCACCTACATTCTTATTTCACCTCTTTCTTCTAATCAAACTTCTTGACCAAAAGATTGTGCTGCCTACTTTCCTTAGAATAATAGAGGTACAATATTAGGTAGAAAGGATCAGAGGAAAGACGCTAGAAGACATCTGAGGTAGGTCTTACAGGATCAATAAAATTGGACTGTGTATCGGCAGAATCATATTGCCTTACACCACCTGCTACTGTTTGATGGGAATTAATTTTATCTGCCCTAATTCACAAGTCCTTGATGGCAAGGAACTGGTACTTTCCACAAGGCTACACAGAAGACAGACCTTGCTATAAGTCTACCTACAGGTATGGCCAACAGACAGGTGGAAGACTCACCCTCAGGCTGTGTTTCTACTCGGAGTGGAGCTGAACTTTCTCCGGAGCCATGTTTATTTTGAGCCATAACTCTAAAGATGTACACAGTGGCTGGCATTAGGTTTTGAATGGTCACCTGCATTTCTCCTGGGCGACTGGTATTCTCAACACGTTCCCTTTAGACAAAGAGGGGTTTGGAAAGAAACAGCATTGATTAAGAATACTTCTAGAATGTGCGGTTTCATTTTCACTGCAAGTCCTATAGATATAATACCACATCAAAATCTTAATTGAAGTCAAATGAACTCTCAAAAAAGCAAACCTTTGGGGTGGAACAGGGCACAGAATACAGACACTGGCAAAGAACAATATCACACGTGCCTGATAACTTACTGACATTTTGCTTAAACATGACTGACTTTGCAGGTCATAACCACAACTTCCTTTCAGAGAAGGCACAGACAAGGATCTTCTCACTGCCATTTCAAATGGGACAGCTGGTCATCAATTTTGCAGGTTTTAGGAATCATTAAGTTTTTAAAGAGTGATTTCCAGGGAGACAAACAGAAGCTGATTACAGGTATGACCCAATTATCAAAAAATATCAAGGAAGTCTGTGTATATTTTGGATAAAAGACCCAATAAAAAGAAAACTAGAGATTAACACTTTTAAAGTTGGGAACATTAAACATTTAAATGAATCCTAAGTATCCAATTTTTAAAATAAGCCAATCCTGATACTGATTTTTATAATTTATTTGTTAAAACAAATACTCTTGGGGCGCTTGAGTGGTTCAGTTGGTTAACCTCTGACTTCAGCTCAGGTCACGATCTCACGGTCCATAGGTTCGAGCCCCACATCGGGCTCTGTGCTGACAGCTCAGAGCCTGGAGCCTGCTTTGGATTCTGTGTCTCCCTCTCTCTCTCTGCCCCTCCCCTGCTCACACTCTATCTCTCTCCATCTCTGAAAAATGAATAACGTTAAATAAAAAAAAATATTAAAAAAAAAACAAATACCCTTTTTGAATGATTTCCAAACTGATTTGAAATATTTGACAAATTTTATGACAAACAGGACAAATGAATCCAGTGGTCTGGTGCTATGAACTGAAAACATAAAAGCAGTTATTTGTTTTCTCTATCCTCAGGGTCTGTGTGTCCACACTTGGGTCCATAATTATGCTCAGCCTACTGTATGTACTATAATAAAAACTAATTCATACGACACAAGCGTTTTCAACAAATATTGAAGTATTCATTCACTGTATTAGACAAATAGCTGGCCTTTATGGATCACCGATCATGTAAGGAGAGCTCTGTATCTATCCTGACAGTAATAAAAAAGGCCCAAAACTACTCTGTGGAAGAAATTACTTGAAACCATATAATCTATTGAATTAAAATTCTTACTTTAAAATATTGGTAATTTTCTCTGAAATCACTGATTAAAATTAATTTAGTTCTACATGACCATATGTCAATTGGCCTGATTGTATGTGAACATTTACATTTCAGATATTTGTGTTTTTCAATAGCTTTCTATACTTTTTAAAACTACCTCATTTTAATTTAAAACAAACAAACAAACAAACAGTACCCACATCATACTTATAGAGTGTCTGTCTCTATATGAGCAGGTAGGTCCACTGGAGAAGAGCACTCTGGGAACAGTTACTGCTCTAAGATACCTGAGGTACATACAGGTAGTTTTCTCTTCAGCTAACCCTCCAAATCACAACATTTAAATGGAGGATATGAGCTGATTTCTTACACTTTGAAGTTTCTGACCTTTGGTCTGATCACAAATGATTGCTGTCTGGTATTTTACACTTCACCAAAAAAAAGCTCCCTGTGAGAGCACAGGTGGTCTGTTCTGCTCACTCTGTACATAAAAGTTCAAACAAAAAGTTAACTGTACAAAAAGCTGAGACTATCTTGGGAAAGACAGTTGGGGGAGGCACCATTTTACTTTAAGTTGAAGTGAGTGTCTCATTCACATTCACATATTACATAAGAACTGAGCAGAATGCTCATACTGCAGCACTCACAAACGCGTGCAGATGCACGAACGGAAATTTACCTTCTGTATGTAAACCTTTGTATAGTAATAATAACGTGTATATTTTTTGTTCATTCCTATGTGAAAGGGAAAAAAACAAGAGAAATGAGTGAAGAGAGCTAAAAATCTGGAATAAATTTCTATAGAAGCATTACAATTTAAAAAATCAGTAATAGGTATGATTCCTTCAGATGAAATAAATACCCAGCATGTACCTGCAAAAGCTTGTAACACCAGATTGGTTTGAGGTCCCAGAACCATGTGTCTGTCTAGAAAAAACTTTTGACTTGAGGACAAGATCCAGGGTGAGTTACAAAGTACAATTCTCATAAATGTGTGACATTACAATGGAACTTAGGTTAGAATGTGTTAGCAAAGAATCAAGGGAGAAAGACAAAGGTATTTTTTATATTAAGACAGTGCTGGGCTAGGCGATAAGAGCTTCAATTCTACTTTTGGCAAGCTACTAGCTTTCTGGGGGACTGTAGGCCAATCATTAATTCCTTCTGAGCCAGAAAGCAAATATTTACAGACAAAATGGAAAATATTATGTAGTTACTTATATAACCTATTAGAATGTAGCCATTTGAAAATGTAAAAATATTCTTAGCTCCTGGGTCATAAAAATAACAAGGCTGATTTGGTCCAAGGTCCAATATACTTGCCTTGTCTTCCTGCCTTGCCAACTCCTGGGCTCAACTTATAGCTAAGGTTTCGTCCATCTCTGAAATGCTATTAATTTTGGAATAACTCACTCTGTTTTTTTTTTCCATTTAGTCCCTAGTATCAGAAATGCACTTCTATTACACTAAAGGCATTGGGGGGGAAAAAAAGGTGAACATTTCCTAGATGAAAACGCAGAGGAAGGACCCTTTGAAATCTCAAGAAACTCTGGCACCCAATACACATGACCAATATATGACCAAGACACATACTGCCACCTGGTGGTTGATTTTTCAAATGCAGGAAGTGGAAGGCTTTGTAAATTCGGGTAGTGGCATACATCCTCACACTGCATTCTGATTATAAGTCTATGAAGAAAAGTTATGACCCTCGTTTTTCAGATGGGAAAAGTTAAGCTTATAAAGGTCAAATAAATTCTATTTATAAAACAAGTGAGCAGGATCTAGTCTTCTGACTTAGTGTTCTTTCTACTCCTTCATTGCTTATATTCAGAAATCATACGCTTCATTCACAAATGAAGTGACAAAAAAATTAGTCTCTAAGAACCTTCCTTTGAAATATTCCCCATATTTATTCTGTCCACTCCAAGTCACGGCTCTCCCTTTCGTCCAGGCCATACCTACCGCACGACTAGGTTAACTACCTGATTTGTCTCGCTGACTATTTCTTCTCCTCTTCTATGCAGTGCTCATAAACTACTAAGAAAAGCTAATAAAATCACAGTGCACACTTGCTCAGGAGTCTAAAATGGTCCCTTCTTAACTGACTGTGTCCAAATTCTTACTGGCATTATGACATCTGGCTCCAAACTTCCACTTTATTATAATCTCTTACTAATTCCTACCAAAACTCTGGGCCACTTAACCCAGCTTTCTTACTTTCCCATCCTTCAAACACCAGACAGACACATTAAGTTGGATCCTCCTTGCATCTCTTCTTCCTTTATATATACTTGCCTTGTCTTCCTGCCTGACAATTTAATTTTAAATTGAAGTGACAGATTCTCATTAAAAACAAAAGTATATATAGTTAAAAAAAAAAATCTGGAAGTCCCAGTTTTTCTCTCTCCTCAAAGCATGTCCTTCCCTGACATCTAACTGTGGCATGGACTGACCTGTATCTTACCAGATCTCTCCATGTCAGCTTTTCTCAATCTTGGCACTAGCGAGCTGCTGGGCAGGATAATTCTTTGTTGTAAGGGACTGTCCTGCACATTGCAGGACGTTTATCAGCATCTGTGGCTTCTACTCATTGGACATCAGTAAGCATCCTCCCTCATCTCAGTTGTAATAACCAAAAATGTCACCAGACATTGCCGAATGTCTCCCAAGGGATGGGCAAACTGCCTGTTTGAGAATCACTGTTCTAAGCATTTACATACACATCAAAATATATAGACACATCATTTAAAAATTCCTATATCACATTTCATGTGGATATACATATATTAATTATGTGCTCATTTCTCCACGAATGGGCATTTACTTTCATTCCTCTTTTCATTCTTACAAACAATGCTACAATAAACATTTTTATGAGTACCCTATGCATACCAGTTATCTATAGAACACCCAGAAGTGTAACTGTTGGGCTGACAGGTATATGCATTAAAGAGAGTAAAAAAATAATTCTGCCAAACCACTTTCTCCAAAGGCTACTCTTATATTGCCACCAAAAGCCTAGAGTGGATTTCTTCCCAGCATTTAACTTGCTTAACACTAGATATTATCAATTTAAATCTTTGCCAACTTTGTTAAGTGAAAAATGGTTTCACTTTTTGTATTATTACATTGTATCTCCAAGACCACAAGTGATGGCAAAACCTTTTTTAATTTTAACAGGCTTTCCATTAACTTCTGTTAATCATCCACTTGTACCATTTGCCTCTTGGAGTATCTTTTAGTTATGACTTATAGGAGCTCTTTATATAGACTGGATGGCAATATTATTTTCTTATAACTGTTACCAATTTTTCCCCAGCTTATCACTTCATGGTTTGATTTTGTTTATGATGTTTTATCACATGGAATTTTACATTGTTGTATAATAAGCTTTGTATATCTCTCCTGTTGTGGCTTCTGGATTTCCTGTCTTCCTTTAAAAGGCCTTTCACACTCAAATGATAAAGCAGTTGTATTTTCTTCTAATACATTTATAAGCTTTAAAATCTCTTCATCTATCTATAACTTATTGTCATACATGATATAAGACAGAGCTGTAGAACTTCCATTCTTTTCACCAAATGGAGTCAATTATCCCAACATGACTTCTTGAATAAGCTGTTACCTCTCCATTGACTGAAATGAATTTATTCCCTGGACAAGTATTTATTTACTGCAATTATATGCCAGGCCCTGTTCCAGGTGCTGGTGATATTCTACTGATATGACAGACACCAGAAATTGGTTAATAAAGAGAGAAAATTTCAGAGTGTTCCGTGTTCTGGAAACAAAAGCAGAAAGACAAAACAGGATGATGTGACAGCAGTGGTGTTGTGGTCAACGTTTAATAACTAGCTCTGGTTTGTAGCACTTGTCTCAGTAAATACTCATGCCACACCCCATTTTGAGCTACCAAGTTGTCATGGGTTTACAAAATTTCCTGAAAATTTAACAACAGGCTTGGAAACAAGCTGGCCCCAGAACATCACTGTGTGATAGGGTTGGAGTGGGGGCTAAGCCGGGTGAGTATTCACGGAAGGCCTACGAAGGTGTCATCTGAAGATGACTGGTAAGAAGCCAGAAACAGTTGTTTGTGAGGGAAATGCATTTCTGGTAGAAGGAACAGCAGAGACAAAGGACCTATAATGGAAAGAAGTTTGTTATTCTGAGGAATTACTAAATGGTTTTTTCTTTTGTGAAATATCATGAAATTAGCAAGGAGATGTGAAAGACCATTGGAGGCATTCTAACACAAGCCATTCGGTAGTAACGTCTTGCCTTTTTGTGTCTAGAACCATGTTTCTTTATCTTTGCAATGCCCAAAACATCTGGTACAGTGTTCAGATAAACATCATTCTAGCAGAAGCTCCATCTATCTCAAAGCTCTATCTATCTCCAACTGGCTCAAATTAGGTCACTCGGACTTCTCAAAAGTATTAAATCAAGGGATTATGATTTAGGTTCCTGTATTTGTGGAACTTGACAGTCTAGTTATTAAATACAATATGTACCAGATGTAAGCACCCTGGTAGAAACACAAGCTTTATTTCATCTGTGAGGGCCCTAGCCCAAACAGTGATTTCAGCTTTCTTATTTTGATATGAATAAAGAAATCTACTTGACAAGGCTAAGAATACACAGCATGCGGCTTGGTTCTTCCGAAAGTTTTTATAATTTGGTTGGGAAAACAACACAAATATACATAAAATAGAAGAGTAACAATTTATGGCAGTATAAGATCCTATGTTGTCATAATTAAGTGCAATATTAGTGGCAGAAATGCATATAAGAGAAAGACTATGCGAAAAAGTGGAGAAAAATGCATGAGGACTTCATGGGGCTTAATCTGGGCCACAAAGGATTCACTAACTTCAGCTTCAGTTGGGAAAGGGGGAAGTAACAGAAGAGAACGCACTTGAAGAAAGGCAGTGTATGATAGGAACTGGACTGGTTTCATTAGAAAGTGAATTAAACTGTGAGGTGAGGCAAGTAAGGCTGGACAGATAAAATAAAGCTGGACTCTGGGTAAAGTGGCCTGGGGATTCTGGAAAATCTCCCATAAGCAATGGAGAAGCAACATGAGCTCCTAAAAGAGGTGGAGATGGAGAGAAATTTAATGGAAGTGCTGTTTTTTAGGAAAATTAGCTACTAATTACTCTTGTATCATCAAGGAGACCCCCTAGAGCTGGGCAGTCCACATCCACATAAGGGTGCAGGCAAATACTCATTTATGATTACTTCCGTAAATTAAGTCTACCTTAATTTCTAGAATCTGAATGTTCTAAGTAAGCCACATCCTATAGGCTGTGCTGACTGAATCTTATGAAAAAAGAACAGCCCTCATTACATTTTAATACTTCTACCTAAAAAGCTCTATCTACTTTCTCCCCAAGTCATTCCAGGGAGGCAGGAAAGAATACCAGGACTTGACTCTATTTGGGATAAGTTTTAATGACCTAAAATTGGGAAATATGCATCTTGGTGGTCATATTTTCTGGACTGAAAATTGGTACAGATTCTGCACAACAAAGAGCCAGGGTGAGCATGACTGGCCTGGGGTAGACCAAGATGCAACCACTGGCTCCAGACATACAGACACTTACCTAACAATCCCTTCCTTGGTGTAGAAGACAGAATAGGTAAGGTTGTCCCCATGAGGATCTGATGCAGGTGTCCGCCATGTCAATTTGATGAAGCGGGTAGAGACCAGCGAGGCCACGACATCCCGAGGAGCTGAAGGCAGTGGTCCCGTTGTGGCTGGTGCTAGATGGTCAGTAGTGGCACTGGTCAGTGAAGTGGGAGGTAATGTTGGGATGGCAACATCTTGTCATGTGCAAACATTGGGGAATATGAAGGGCAAACCACGACGGTTTTAAAAAAGAGAACAGAAAAACAAAAAACAAAAAAGAAATAAACAAAACCACGATGGGAAATAAAATAAAATGAATGAACATAAAAAAGGCCATTAAACTGAAGGCTAACATGCAGGCCAGGGGTAACTACTGAAAACTAATGGGCACTATTCAAGACACATCACTGTAGAGCAAGCAGACTTTTTGGTCACTATAATGGTTGTGGGTAAGGGACAGGGAAGGTGACGGCTGAGGATAAAACATCTCACAGAAGGACACAGCAGTGACCAAGTAATTTTTTTTTAATCCTGAAAGCAGCATGCATCACCTGTCAAACCTTTCACATAAAAGTCTCATCTACTGATAAAACCTCAGTATTTTTAGCTACTTTATCAAACATGGAATAACATGTGCAGTATGGAGGAGTGTAGGTGCTCTCAGCACAGGCCCAGGCTACCGCCAGCCTTGAGGCACAGCTGTGGGTCTTCGGCTCTGCAGGAGATTCAAGAGCCACCTCTTTAACTTCAGACTAACATTAAACTCTGCTCTCTGTAATTTGGCAATCCCCAGGGAAGTTCGACAACTTTCCTCACTTCACAAATAGTTCACCTGCTATCTTCATCAATTCACTTAACTACAGTAGTATAAAAACATGAATCAAAAATTCCAAAACCATAAAAATACAACACTTAGGTAGCTCATCTGTTTGTTACAGCCCTCTCTGCAATATATATTTCTGTGGCTTGCAGAACTCGGGAACTGGGTGGGACAGATGAAGTGAAGGCAAGTCAAAGCTCTGCTTGTCAAGAGCCTCATATATTTGTAGTCATGGGTAACTTTATTACTCGCTGAGGCAGCCCATTCTGTTGCTGGACACTTCTGATTTTCCTAATAGTGAACTTAAAATCTCCTTCATCTTGGGGCCAGAAAGTATAAGGATAATTTCACAATTTTCAACTAAAGGAGTTCATCAGAATTCTGTCAAAACCTTAATGGGAAAATTAGGAGAAAAAGGGCAGAGAGGAAAACACGAAAACTCCTGAAGCTGGTTTTCAATGAAATGTTAAGTCAACAATCTCCAGGAAAGATCTGTGAACTGCAGAGAATCTAAAGTGAAGCAGTCAAATAAATACACCAGGTAGAATGAGTTCTCTAAGGGAAAGTACAGAGGAAGACCAACCTAACGTCGCTCTTCAGGTGGGGCAGGGTGAAAGTCATCCAACAGCTATCATTTCTACATGGCACTCTGGCTCATGTACTCACTGAATCCTTATAACAACTCTATGAAAAATTCTATTTCTGTCTTCTATGTAGAGGCTGACAGTTAAGAGGGCTAAACCACTCATCCTAAGTCACAGATGGTAAGTGATGGAGTGTAAAAAAATCAACTTTGATTTCTAGTTTAAGAGGCCTCTGCATTTAGCCAATAGGAGCTCTACTCCTGCTGGACCTCTTACTAGTTTTATCATCTTGTGCATGTCACTTACTCTCTCTTTTCCTCTCCTTCTGAGAAAGTACTTTGGAGAGAACAGAGTGCTGTCAGCATGTAAGACCATGAAGTCACAGCCACAGTCACAGAAGATACAAGTCCACATTTCACTGACACAAGTGTCAATATTGTAAGACCGTTACATCTGAATGGCCTCTAAGGCCTCATTCTTATCCCTGATGCTTGAATAGATGCGCTTCCTCAGAGAAAAGAAATACCTCTCCTTCACAGCTTTCAGAGTTCTTTTTCACATGCTGTGCCAGTTTATTCACACAACAACCCTATGAGGTAGGATGGGAATGACAGGATTAGATGTTGGGGTGAAGATAAGAAAGGAGTCAAGGACTCCAGGTTCCTGGAGAAACCAGGCTTGGGAGAATGGGTGGTTGGGGGTGTCATTCACAGAGAATGACAACATTAAAAGAGACTAGAGACTGAGGGAGAGATGGCAAATGATGAACATGCTGTGTCCAAAGTAATGATCCCACATGTGCCAGAGAAATGTGTAAGAAGCAACTGGAGATGTTGACTCTCTGACTATGTAAAATTAAGTCACTAAAAACCCTTAGAGGGAAATGATTTGAAGAGTAGCCTGAATAGTCTTGTTTTGTTGCTTCATTTCTGTGTCTATCCAGAAATACACTTAAGTAAAAACTGCTTCCAAGTCTGACCTGACCCACTAAGTTTTTCCCAACTACCTGCTGGCTGGAGAGGAGAGGAAATCTGTACTGTGAGAGGCAGTACAGCATACTGGAAAAAGCCCAGGATTTCAAGTACAAAGACCTTCTATTCAAAACTTGACTCTGTCACGTCCTAATAACGTGAAGTTGGGCAAGTCACACAGTCTCTCTGATCTCAGTTTCCTTGTCTGTAACTGGAAACGCTCCCCACTCATGTCCCAGGCTGGTATGAACCACACGAATATCATCCATAAGAAAAGTGTATGTGGAAGCACTAGGTGCATGTTTTCACTGACAGAAAAATCTAAATATAAAGGCAACCAGGAGGAGAATGTAAGCAGGAAGATCAGGTGCTACAAGTGATGGGTGATAATTAAGAACTGGTCAGACACGGACATTTCAATTAGCCCATGGAACTCTAGGGCACACATCTGAACGTTTTGAATGGCATCCAGCATTTCCCACTTATATTTTTCATGTTCATGATGAATCATGCTCATCTGTAAGCTCCTTGAGGATGAAATCCATATCTGTTTCCTCTTGGCATCACTCGTTGTGCATGTGTATACCTTAGATAATCAATAAATGTGTATTTATTGAATAAGTGGGAAAAAATCAGGGAGAATGTTAGTGCAATGGGGACCAGTGTTTCTAGAAGCTCATCACACACACAAATATTTTAATCTTTGTAGCTGCTACAAAGTATATACAAATATAATGATGCTATGTAAACATTTGCTTTGCAAATGTATTTTACCAGTTATACACAGAATCAAAGTGTAAATAATGGCAGATCATTGTAAATGATTCCTAGTTAACTACGGGAAAAATCCATGTCCACTGTGGTCCTAGTGTTTTATAGCCACTTTCCCCAAGTTGGTTCTTTTGCTGCCGTTCCATGATCTAGCTGGGCAGGTAAGGGAAAGGGTCTTACGTGATCTCAGAGAATCAAATAGGCAGTTAAGATACACCAGGATCAATGGCAGAACGATACAGATTGGGACTTTAGACTTCTAGCATGATGGTTTGAGGATGTCAACAAATGCTCTTCCCCAAAAGCAGCTATACAGCTGGACAAAATTGTCAAAAACTGGAAACTGGCCAAAGGCATACAACAAACCAAGAAGGATTTATTCATAAAAATTACCACAGTTCAGGTAAAATCAGTGAGTCTGTGTGTGCCATTCTGGCCTGGGTCTGTTCCAAGCTCCCCAGCTCTGTGGGAGTAGTTGTTCAACCAGGGTACGGCAGGCCCCAGAAGCTAGTGGCCCTGCTGCTGCCATCAGAGGGGCACACTCGATGTGGAGCACTGCCAGCTAAAGTGGCAATGTTGGTGGCAAGTGAAAAGGAAGGGCCAGTGTCTCTGCTAGCCTGAGACTGTGATTTGGGGGCAAACAGCAGATGATAGGCTGGATGTAACAGGGAGTTTGGTGAGGTAAAAAATAGTAAGAAGGCTTGAGAAGTTCTCCATATAATCCAGGAAGACTGAAAGCCATGCGTATATGCAGCAGAGCCAAGAAGAGGTCCAGATGACCTACATATCCCCAGCCAGCGGAACCTATGTGTGTATTCAGAGCACAAGTGAGAGAGCCCCGCAGAAAGCAAAAGCTGAGGCCGGCTAAAAAATGACCTGAACTTTGAATGCATTGCCCAAACCACACCCAGATCCATCAGCTAAGAGTGGAAGGCTTACTGGCTTGAGTTATTTGAGCACAACTTCTGACTGATATTTGGATAAATGCTAATCCATACAGACACAAGGGTTACCCTAGAAATCCAGGCTTAAAAATAAAAACAAAACAATAAAGAACAAAAGCTGAGCAGAAACATCAGTGGTCACACATTGTGGGGAAGATGGATGTCACAGATTTAGTCCAGGCAAGCTAACTACACTAAGGAAACAAGAACAGCTTGGGAAACGGGAGTGGGGGGAGGAAGAGGACTCAGAACCCACAGTTGCTACAATATGCTATCCAGAATATCCAATATTCAGCAAAAAATGAAGAGACATGCAAAGAAACAAAGTGTGACTTACACTCAGAGGCTAATGTAAAAAAATGCAGTCAATAAAAAGGTCTCGGGGTCCTTAGATATTAGATTTAACAAAGACTTCAGAGGAGCTGTTAAAAATATGTTCAAAGAACTAAAGGAAACTGTCAGGAACTATACAGTGTCGGAGATTTACCTTACTTTTAAGCTAACAAGACAGCCTATTACTGTTTCATGGGCACAGGCAAAAACACAAGCCTCACATCAGAGACAAAGAACTTCATTACTCAGGGCAATGGCAATGGTCAGAGCTTCTTGTTTGTTTTCATCAGTTCTCCATGCCCCTCAAGTGCCACAAAGGCAATGTTTTAAAGGCCCAGGATGGATGCCTACACCTGCAGCAGGTTGTAACAGGAGAAGAACCCTGAGCTTGAGGGATTTACAACTTCTTTATTTTATTTTATTTTATTTTATTTTATTTTATTTTATTTTATTTTA